TTGGTATTACTTTACGTTCCAGTTACGTATTGCTAAAAGCACGGTCCGCAGAAGGGACAGGGACATTCCATAAAATTTTTTCATAGACGTAATACTACTAAATTTATATTTTGTATTAAAAGTTTAAAATAAAAATGTATGCTGCTTAGTAGAATTTAATTATAAAAAATAAAGAATAGCATTCCCAACAAGTGGTGATACGAGTCAAATTGAGAACTACAACATTTGGTGTCAGCGACTACAAGATTGGTGACGACGGTGGTCCCAATCCAGGATCACGATTAAACAAGTTGTAGTTTAAAAGTAGTGAATTATTTAAAAATAGAATTTTTAGACACTCTGTATAGGTAGGTGTAATTTTTATTATTGCAACACAAATTCAGTAAATATATAAATGCTTCAATTACAATATTTGGTTTAAAACTTAAAAAGCAACAGAGAAATGAAACATTAAATTATTACTGTATTTTGACAAAACCTAAATATTTCAAAACGGTAAAGGGTTAAGTTTGGTAAACCTTAACCAAATTTACAACTATTTTAACAGTAGAAACTAAAAATGTAATAATATACAGGGTGTTCCATTTAAAAATGCAACTTTGATATTTTTTATTTCTTTTAGGACACTCTGTATCTTGTAAAATATTTTTTAAATTGCTTAGCTCTAATGGTCCTTCAACAGACCCAAAACTTACAATTTGTAAAATCCCAGTCTGTTTAACTACAATGCCTCCGTGTCGTATGTGGTGAAGACAACCCTGTGAGAGATTTTTTTAATTTATTTATTGTGGTAATTTTTATTAAAACTCAATAAATAATGTTACATTAAATTTGCACTAATGTAGGATTGATTGTTTGTAATAAACCAACAGGCACATTCAGCAGGTCAACTTACCCAAAAAGAATTTGAATACCAGTAGAAGAAATAGCTGTTGCAACCCGATCACTAGCGATACTCACAGCTTCACTAAAGGAAGATCTTCACACGATGAAGATGATAGATATTCTGACAAGGACCAATCTTCTTGTTTGTAGGTATTAATGTTTATTTTCACTACCTGTAATTTTTTTGATATTAAGGGCTTAACCATCTTTAAAAGTTTATTAAAATATGTGTCATTCATTCTGAGGTAGTTTTTAAGGTCATCTGTTGCATCAGTTCTTAATTTTCGCACTTCATATAAGATAATGTATCACGTTGTAACAACCAATCTTTCACCCAGAAACGCTTTTTTGGTTTTGTAATTGGTTCTTGCAATAACAATAATATAATAATAAACAACGCTTTTTATTATTATTATTGTACAAAAAGCCAAAATAGCTTCATCGGCAAAGCATTTACAAAACAAACAAAAGCACAAAAAAATATACAAATAATAAAAAATATCATACAATACATATAATTACAATTATAAACATACAAATATCATACAATTCAAAAGAAAATTTACGTTATTAAAATTACAAATAAAACATACATGTATAACATTGCAAAACACAAAAGGCGTACCAATAAAATTTTACAATAAGAAAAAATTGTATATATATATATATATATATATATATATATATATATATACTATATATATATATATATATATATATATATATATGCTAACAATAACAACAACAACAACAACATATATATATACTTCTTTCTTTCTGCTATATATGTATTAGTCGGTTTAGAACGTTTTTCTACGTTGTCCCATACCCAATTTCCAGCCTGTTCTATTCGTACAATCCTCTGTTGACTGGTTTCTTTCACTCATCGCTTGGTGTACGCTTTTTTGCCATTTCAGTTTTGGTCTTCCCTGTTTTCTTCTGCCCTTTGGTTGCCAATTGATTTTTTTCTTGGGCCATCTAGTACCCTTCATTCGCTCTACATGTCCGTACCAGATCAGCTGCTTTTTCTCTATATCCTGTGTTATCGTACCTTCTATACCCATTTGTTGTTTTAATTATTTCTTATTCGTTGTTGTCTTGAAATTCCCATTGATCTTCGAATGACATCCATTTCTACGGCCTCTATCCTCTTCTTGTATCTCTCAGTTATTCTCCATGTTTCTGCTCCATACAGGAGGTTGCTCTTTATCATGGTTTCATATATATTGAATTTTCTTCGCTTTGTTATTGATTGCTCCATAAGATTCCATTTAGACATCCGATTATTTTTTCGCTTTGATAATCCTTTTCTCTATTTCTCTGCCGTCAGTTCCAGTGTTATCAAATGTAATTCCCAGGTATTCATACTCTTGACACTGCTTAATTTCGTTACCGTTGTCCAAGTTCAAGTTTCCTTCTTGTGCGCCTATACATAGATATTTTGTTTGGCTATGTTAACTGTCAAGCCCCATTCTCCGTATTCTTTAATAAGTTTTCTTAGCATATATTGCATATCGTCTTTGTCATTGGCAACTATTATTTGATCGTCTGCGAATTGAAGTGTGAACAAACATTCATTGTCAATCTCTATGCCCATACCACGGATCTTTCTTTTCCAATTTTTTTTAAAGCGACTTCCAGCGTATATTTTTATAGAGAGTAGGGAGATGGAACAACCTTGACGCAAGCCTTTGTCGGTTATAAATGTTTCTGTAAGCTCTTTTCCTACCTTTATTTTTGACTTTGCGTCCTTATATAGTTCCTTAAGAGCTGTTATATAAGTATGGTTGATCGTAGATTGTTCTATTACCCTCCATAGTCTTGATATTGGGACAGTGTCGTACGCTTTCCGTAAGTCAACAAATGTTATATGTGTGTCTAAGTTTCTTGCCGATCTTTTTCTATAACTTGTTTTAAAAGAACACGTTACATGTTATCTGTACACGACCTTCCTGTTCTATTCTGTTCTTCTTCCTCCATAATCTTCTTCTATGAGATCACGTAAAATTCTACCATATAACCTGCTCATTGTGCTCGTCACTGATATACCACAGTAGTTACTGCAGTCCAGCTTATTGCCTTTTTTATGGATCGAAGATATATAAGCCAGCTTCCAGTCTTCTGGAACGGGATGTCCGTTTAAGCAAATATTGAAAATTAATGCCAAGCTTCTAAATAGTTTCTGCGTACCATTTTTCAACATTTCGGAGTATATTCCTTCTGGGCCGCTTGCTTTGCCTGATTTTAAGTTCTTGGCAGCCATTCTTATTGTTTCTTCCGATATTTCAACTAGTTCTCCCTGTACGTCGATGTTTCTTGGTGAATCAATTAAGTACTCTTGTCTAGATTCCTGAAGGAGCCCCCTATAATGTTCGAACCATTGTTCAGGTTTAATTAAGTGTATATCAGCTTTGTTTTTTCCTGGGTTCTTAACATTTGAAATAAATTTCCATATTTCTGAGCATTTTCTTCCACCTATGTAGTTATTAATTTGCTCACACTTTATATCCCATGCTTTGTTCTTAGCTCTGTTAATATGTGTCCTTAGTTGCCTTTTTGAATTCTTGTATTCTTCAAGATCGCGTTCTGTTTTAGTAGATAGCCATTTCAAATATTTTTTGTTTTTTTGGACATAAGACTCCATCTCATCGTTCCACCATTTCTTGTTGGTAGAGTATTTTTTTGTTCCTATTGCCTCTTTAGGTAGCAGCAGTTAGATTACTTTTAATGTTCTCGTAGATTTCATTAAATGGCCAAATTCACTCAGGATCAAGAGCTTACTATCAGGTGTCTTTGGTACAACACAGTACTATCATTTTAGCTGTTAAAAATTATAATGTACTGTATTCCATTGATTCCATTGGTATCCCAGTGTTATGATTTTCTTGGAGCTTATCCATTTTCTAAATGTATTCTTATTTTGGCTCTTACTAAAAAGTGATCCGATCCACAGGTGATCCCTCTTAGGACTCTTACGTCGTTTATTTCAATATGTGTTTCCTGTTTACTTATCACATAGTCGATTATAGATTTTAGGTTTCGGGTATTTTGTGTCCAGGTGTATCGATGAATGTCTTTGTGCTTGAAAAAAGCCGTTGTTGAATTTTTTCAGATCGTGGTTTCAGAAAGTAAATTCTTTTCGCCGTTATGTGGTTGTTGCCTCTCCAAAGGGTCCTACTATTTGGCTGTTATTTTTTCTTCCCGTTCGTCCGTTGAAGTCGCCCAGCAATATAACTTCCCTATATCTACCAAAATCTTCTAGGAGCTGATCTAATTTGTCGAAGAAGTCTTGCTTGACACTGTGTCTTTCGTCCTCTGAGGGTGCATGACTGCCATGATCGAAAAAAAGCAGCGTCCAGTTGGCTTTGGAAGACATGGTAGCATTTCCCATATGGTCGCTATAAAATGACAGCGATCTTTGTTTACCATAGCCATCGCTGACTGCATTACTCCGATCATAAACATTGCTAACCATAATATGATGTTGATTGTTAGGATGTTTTCATTAACAGCTTCCCAATTCTTAATCTTGTTTTTCCAGCTCTTTTTTATTAAAACTGATACTCCTCTGGCTGCTCTTTTTTTTTCTTTTTGTCACTCCAGTATAGAGATGAATATATTCTCCAACATTTTCGGTGCCTTGGCCTTTATTCTTGGTTTCAGTAAGTGCTATTAAATACATGTTTTGTTTTTGCATTTCAGCAGCGATGATGTCCTATTTTAGCCTAATTACTAACACACTCCATGTAGCCTTCATAGTCCATTTCTTTGCCGTTTTTCGTCGTTTTTAGTGTCTTGTCAATGTTCCGACACGTTTGGGTTTTTTGGTAGGTGTAAGTTTTTCCGAGTATTAGAGAACCAGTCTAATGCCTCAACCCCCAAACCTGGAGGACCGGGTCAGTTTTTATTTCACGGTGGATATTTTATTTCTCCACTACCCTCTGAGTCTGCTTGCAGATCCAGTGAGCTTCCCCTAATTCCCATAGGGACGCACCCGATGGAGGTAACTGACAATTCCACACACGGGTAGAAAAATTGTTAATGGATATAATCATATAAGAGTTATAAAATATTAAATATTAAATACTAGACCTTTAACGAGTGTGTGAGATGATCAAAATTTTTAAATTAAGAATGGTTCAAGATTAAATATCAACAAAAAATTCGTTTACCACATATAAGGCTCTCTTCAGTAAGTATGATTTCAGAGCTTTGCAAAATGCTGGAAAGATTGAAAGCGACTTGATATTCAAAGGCAGATGATTGTACATTTTTTTGGCATTGTACAGTATTGGGCCTTTAACTAGTTCTGAGCTCGGGGTTGACTGATAAAGATCGTGCTCCGCATTCCTAAGTGGATAGTTATGAGATGGCCTTTCGGGAATAGCAGATATTATGTGCTTGCGGATTTAGCAAACGGATTCAAAAATGAAAAAAGAAGAAAGAGTCGTCATTTTGAAATTTTTAAAGAAATTCTGACAGTGAGTTCTACTGTTCAGTCCCAATGAATATCAGACTGCTTTCTCTTTTGAAGTTTGAAATACGATCCAAATTTTTGTCGCTAACTAAGTACCCCCAAGAATGGAAAAGTATATCGAATCACTGACTTAAAAGGGGCATAATAGGCTATTCTAGGGGTTGATAAGTTAAGTTCATAGAGCAGTCTTAGCACAAAACAGGCAGCGCTTAGTTTCTTTGATAAAGCAGCTTCGATGTGCAAGTTCCATTTTAACGAGTTGTCTACAACAAGTCCTAAGAATTTCACAGAGTCCACGACGTCAATAGTGGTGTTATTAAGTACAAAAGATTGTATAGTACTTTTATATGACAAAACTTTCTTATTGTGTCCCTCTTTCTTGAGTTATAACAAGTTATAACTCATCGTACGGTCTCAGGGCTTTAACAACAGCCAGTATCTGAGACGGTTTTATAGAGGTTAGTTCTCCATCTCCGATATCAGTCGTACCAAGGTTTATGGGATGAATGGTTGTCGTTCCCGGACGGCGCACTCAATGATGAGTTGCTCTGGTGTTTTCCCATCCAAAAAAATTCTCCTCTTTAGACTAAAACTAACTTTTTTTAACTAAAATACTTTATAACACTGAGACTTCTAATTTAAAATGTACTTTTATTTCTAGATGTTTATCGAAGTCGAACAATTTTACTTGAACATAAATAATGTACTTCAAAACAAAAAATTTCAGTAAGTTAACACAAAAATGTATTTTATGTAATTGTTCAATTTCTTACTTACAGGAATTCAAGAAATTCGACAAAAACGATTCCGAAGAAGAAGAGCGACAGCAAACGAAGTCAAAGTTTTGAACACAGTACTACAAAATGTGGGAACAAAGATTGCAATACGTAAGGGTAATTACCAATTATTGATCTGAAGTAAAAAATCGTTTTAATCTAATTATACTTTACAATAAAAAAATTGCGTGTGCACTGTGTGTGTGTATTTGTATTTGAAGTGTGCCCTGTGTCCCATAAATGCTGACAAATCTTAGATTTGTGAAAATCTCCCTTTCTTAAATAATCTTTATGTTCTTTAATTCGAACATATAATGGTCTAGATGTTTCACCAATGTAAAATTTATCGCATTCACATGGTATTTTGTATATTACATTTTTTGTTTGTTGTTCTGTATTCATTGGTTTAGTGTGTGATAAAATGGATCTAAGTGTATTTTGTGTTTTGAAGATGTTCGTATGTTATATTGTTTTATATATATATATATATATATATATATATATATATATATATATATATATATATATATATATATATATATATATATATATATACTGTTTTTTTTTTTTTTTTTTTTTTTTTTTTTTTTACTCTATATATATATATATATATAATAGAACCAGAATTTTGAATTGGGGTAACGGCCTAGTCGTAAGGGCAAAATTTAATGAAAACTCATTTATTACTACTGCCAAGCTTTCGAAAAATCTTTATTTTCTTCTTCATTTTTTTTTTTTTTTTTTTTTTTTTTTTTTTTTTATAATTTATATCAATAAAAAATCGTACCTTGTGTGCAATGTGAGTTTGAAAAAAGAAAAACTGTAAAGGCAATCCTCGTAAAACAGAAAAACCTTTAACATTCCATGCAGGTTGGATCGACACTTTTAAAATCGTATTTCAGTATTTTTCCATCTTGCAGACAATTATAACTGTTAATTTTATTCAATTACATCTAGAAGAAATACGGATGGCCGTACTGAACCACCATTTTGCAGTGACTGTCTTTAATTAACCACGTGAGAAACGTCAAAGCTGTCGTTAGTCAAAAAGAATTCTGCTATTGTGAAGCAATATTTCAATCTCTGCCTACTAGGTGGCGCTTTTGTTTCTGGCTAGAGAATTCAATTTAATTTAAATTTATTTTCAAATTTTTTTTTTTTTATAATATATTATAATACTTCAGCAGATAAACAAGTTTTTTTCCCATGAAAGCCATATATATATATATATATATATATATATACCAACAACTGCTATAACTTATCCAACAACATATGCTTATATATATATATATATATATATATATATATATATGCTGCTATGCTGCTGCTATATATATATATATATATATATATAATAATATATAATTATATATAGTATATATATGGTATATATATATATATAATCGGTTTAAGACGTTTTACGTCTTCCGATGCCATCTCTCCATGCTTGTCTGTCTCTCCATGCACCGTCTCCGAGAGATCTTTTCTCCATAAACGTGTCAATCCCTTCCTGTCAACTTCTTCTCGGTCTACCCGGTTTTCTTCCTTCTGCAGGTTTCCAGTTTATAATTTGTTTTTGGATTCTTATTTCTGCATTCGTTGGACATCCCCGTACCATATGAGTTGACTGTTCTTTATGTCGTCCACTATCGTAATGTTTAACTTCCAATAATCTCTCTTAATGCGTTCATAGTTATTCGCTCGAGTCATGATTTGCCTGCTAATCTCCAAAAATCCATCTATGTAGCTTCCAGCATTCGTTTGTTGTTTTCCTTAATTGACCAAGAACTTTACAGCTGTACGTGGTTATACTCTTTATGATGTTATTGTATATTAAGTTTTGTTTCTGTTGTTTATGCTTCTGTCCCACAGTATCCCATTCAATACCGTGATAGCATTCCTTCCAAGCATGAGTTTGTGCTTTTTTAATTGCTGTCATCCAGTCCATCATTTGTGATTTGCATACCCAAATATTTGTATTTTGTGCAGCACTTAATTTTCTTCCCTTCTTCTAGTATTAGATCTTGTTGTTCTCCTCCGATACACATATATTCTGTTTTGTTAGTATTGATCTCGAGTCTCCATTTCGATATTGTCTTTTTATCCTTCTTATTATTTCCGAAACGCCTCGTATGTATGGAATTGTAAGTTGTATATATTGTGTATTGCTATCATTGTGTCTATGATGTTGGGTTTGTATTTCGTTTAATGTTTTGTCAATAAAATTTGGTGGATAGTCGTTTTTTATTAATGTATTTTTTTGTGGTTTATATCTCTGTTTAGTGAAATGTGTACTATCGTATAAACTTTTTATAACACCTTTTTTTACACTTATACTGTGATTAGATGTGAAATTTAAGTATCTATCTGGGTATTTGTGGGTTTTCTGTAAACATATAAACTTTATTATATTGATTTTTTTGTTCTTTTTAACAAGGTATTTAAAAAAAAACATGTTATTTACAATCTTGTTCTAAATCATTGTTAATTGTTTTTAGAACGTCAAAAAGTGATACAAACATTCCCTACTTGCAAGATCTGTTGATTCAGTTCGACAATGCCAGACACAAGTTGAACACGGCAGTCAAACTTGCCACCACCACTTTGGAGCATTACACGTCCAGGGATTCCAAGGATAGTATTGATGGAAGTTGCTCAAATGACAACAGTACTTGCTCGAAGTGGAGAAATAGTACCCGCGTAGACCAAGGTAGAGTGTAGATTGCAGAATGTAACCTTATAGATCTATTGTGTCCTTCTTTTTTGAGTTATAACTCATCATACAGTCTCGAGGCTTTGAGAAAAGCCAGTATCTGAGACGGTTTTGCAGAGGTTAGTTCTTCATATCCGATATCAGTCGTACCAAAGTTTATGGTTGGAATGGTTGTCGTCTAAGCGCACACAGTGATGAGGTGTACTGGTGTTTCCCCATTTTCCCCACAGAATAATCTGCATTTGCCGTTGTCTCTTAGCTTCAATCTTCTAAGACATACATACAGCCATTACTCGCTGACGAGTATTCGACACACATCAGAAGATGGTCACGCGAGGCGTTTTCTTTCATGAGCTTTTCTGTGACTGAAAAGCCCGATACGTAATGTAACTGCCTACCGCACTCCGGACATTCAAAAATCTCATTGCTTTGTTGCCTCTTTACTTTTTGGTTGCCGCTGTTTACTGAGTTTACAACCCTTCTCCATTGAGTTCTATTACGAGCTGCTTTTTCCCACTCATTCTGCATGTTAATTCCCTTTAAATTTTCGTGGAAAATGTCCTTGTACCTTTTGAATTGTCCACCCGGCCTCCTTTTACCGTCTACAAGCTTACCGTAAAGCAGAGATTTTGGTATGCGGTTTTCTTGCATTCTACATACGTGATCAGCCTATCTTAATTGGGATTTTGTAACCATGACTTCAATAGTCTCGCAGTTAGCTTTTTCAAGGACCGATACGTTTGAGACATGATGGAACCACCGGATTCTTAAAAGTTGTCTAAGGTGTCTCTGTTGTAACTTGTTTAATGCGTTCATATGTCGGCGGTACGGCACCCAGGTTTCACTCCCATATAACATGATGGGGATTATAATTGCTCGGTACACTGCAAGTTTTGTTTTTGTACACAAGTCATGATTTTAAAAAACCCTGTCTTTTAATTTCCAGAATGCTCTTGAGGCGCTGCTAATCCTGTGTTGAATATCAGAGTCAATATTGGCCTTTTCCGAAATCAACCTGCCGAAGTAATTGAATTCCGCCACATATTCCAATAGTACTTCTCCGATTTTTATAGCATTGTTGTAATCTTCCGGGGGAGTGCACATGATTTTAGTTTTGTCGATGTTTAGCTTAAGACCCAAAGCCTCGTATGCCCAGGTATATGTGTTCAACATCTCTTGTAATTGTTGTACTGTGTTTGCAACTAGAGCGCAGTCATCAGCGTATTGAAGTTCTGTGATGAATTTTGTACGTGTTTTTGCCCGAGTTTTGTACGAGTCTTTTTATGTTGAACAGACCGCTGTCGTATCTGTATCCAATGCCCAATCCTCTCTCCTGCAGTTTGCTGTCCACTATAATGGACAGCGCTACCATAAATATGTTGAATAGGAGAGGCGCTAAGACAGATCCCTGCCTAACTCCTGTATTTGTTAGGAATGGGTCGCTCAGTGATCAGGTGTTTATTAGGGAGGTCTTTTGAGGTGTTTATTGGGGAGACAGTGTCCTGTTAGAAACCCCGTGACAATCCAAAGATTCTTTTTCACTTAGATCAAAGAAATTTTTTGATTTTTCTCTCTTTTCTACCTAGATCGTTTGATTTTTCATCGCTCAAGTTTAGTATACTACTTTTTTCACCCTGTATTGTCCGCCAAACGAGAGAATTCCTGACAGTGTCAGTTGTGTCTATCATTTTTTGGACACACATTATTGGACAGACTTTACTATTAATTTCATAGAATAAGATAATGAAAAGGATTGGAAGAAAGAAACGCTTACTCAGCATATAAAAGATCATACCATCACGTGGTATACTGATGCTTCCAAAACCAAAGCAGGGACAGGAATAGGAGTATCTGGGCCGAAAACTAAATACTCCGAACCAATAATGGGCACCTACCCTGGTATCCTTCAGGCAGAAATTTACGCTTTCGAAAGATGCGTACAATTTATCTTAGATAGGAACTATCGAAAACAGGAAATTGCCATCCTATCCGATAGTCAAGCAGCACTTAACGCGATCAACTCAGTAACCATCAATTCGAAGTTGGTCAAAGAATGCCTAGAAAAGCTCAACAAATTAGGCAAAGAAAATAAAGTCCTCCAACTCTGGGTGCCTGCTCACCAAGGGATAGAAGGCAACGAAAAAGCAAATGATCTAGCTAGGAAAGGAGCGAACACTCCACTAACTGAACCAGAACCGTTCGGTTTTCCAAACGGGAACCAACTGAAAGCGGAACTGAAGAATCTGGAAGACTCCATCCGTAACTTGGAATGGGTGTCCTCAAACGGTCTAGGACACTCGAAAAAGTTCCTCAGAACTTATGACCGAGAAAAATCAAAGGTTTTCCTTGATTTAAGTAAAAACAACCTTCGGATTGTCACGGGGTTTCTAACAGGACACTGTCTCCTCAACGAACACCTCAGTAGGCTGAAGCTGAGAAACAACAGCGAATGCAGATTCTGTGGGGAAAATGGGGAAACACCAGAACACCTTATCACTGAGTGCGCCGAGACGACGACCATTCGTGCCATGAACTTTGGTATATCTGATGTCGAGAATGGAGAGCTGGCCTCTCTGGAGCCGTCTTAGATACTGGCTTTTGTTAAAGCCCTGAGACTGTATGTGTAAGATTGATTGATTTTTAAAAGAATAATTTATTGTCAAAATAATTGTTTGTACATAATAATATTATATTTATACTTTGTATACTTACTGTTTACTATTATTATAGACAATTATACAAGAAACATTGGGAATACCTCAATGAACAGACAGCCGCCAGTCCTTGATACGCTGTATTCCAAGAAATCTGACATGAGTAGGTCAGTATATCATAAAATAAACTGTACTTAAAACAAAGGTATCCAAGATATAAAAACATGACGTAAACTCTTTTATTGTAATCTTTTCTCGCGTAAAATCAGTAGGTAATAAACATTGGGATGAGAACGAAATGCTGTAATGACGTCACCAATCTCTTCTGTTTATTGGGTTTCAAATTGTATTTTGTATTATATCATTTTTTAATTACTTTTGTAGAAGCAGCAGTAGAATGATGGCTAGCAAGAAAGCTGAGGAGCTGCAAAGTACCCTCAATTCTCTGCTGGAAGGGAGTTTAACAGAGACGTCGCATTTCGACCACGATATCTCAGCTATACCCAAATGCTGCAAAGAATCGAAAAGTTCGAACTCTTTGAAGTTTGCCAGATCCACATTATCTGCTCATTCAAGGGATTAAAACATTATAGGAACTGTAAATAATAAAACTCTAATAAACATAACTTTATTTTGTCAAAATGGAATGTTTTTTTTATCGTCATATCTAGAAATCTATATTTGATACCAATTAAACTTTTAGTTACATAATCGAGGGCGCGATTTTTAAATTCATTCTTGCCAACCGTGAACATATTCGGCGCCGTGCTGAGTAATCGGAATTTAAATTTCGCGCTGGGGATTCAGGTGGTAGCTCTGCTGTAAAAAATGTCAAGTTTCCGCATTTATTTATTTATTTCCTGACATTGTGATTCGTTTTGTGTTTTAGTTTTATATTACGAGTTTTTGGTTTAAATAAATAGTGTTATTGTGATACTTTAAGCTTGGAAATGTTTACTGGCAGACCTTGCAGTCGAACAATGATTTTTTTAGAACCTGTTTTAGTGCGCAGTGTACAGGGTGTCCCATTTTGGTTAAAATCATACGGTATCTCCGTTATTAGTGAAGATAGAAGGGTGCGGTTTGCACAAACCTGTCTCACTTTTTTGTCAAACGGAAGATGCCGTAAACAAAATGTTCATAGCCCTCTTCGTTTCCGAGCTACAGGGTCTATTTGAAAATTTTGCAATTTGGGACACCTCCTGTATCTCTGTTATTGTTAAAGCTATCGAGAAGGTGAAAACTGTTTATTGTAGAACTTTTTACGTCAAATACAGTGCCGTAGTCTGTTTTTCTACCAAAAAAATATTTTTGAAAATATGAACTAAAATTATGTTTTTCTAAATGGAACACCCTGTATATTTATTAATCGTATGATCTGTCTTGCCATAAGCTTCTCAAAAATATATATCACTCTATATTTATTTTCACTATTTACTGCAATATTTAAAAGTTTTTATTAAAAGATCATATTTATTAGTAGGCCATGATTGATAATAAAAGAAACTAAAGAATTATTAAAAGTATACTGCTATCTGTCTCTTGTTTTATTTTGGGAGCCGCTAATAAAAATCCTTTATATATTAGGGAAACTTAACTCTCTACCGCTATTTGTAAATCTTGGAATACGTGTATACGTAAGAATAATCTATCGTATCGGAAATTTTAGATATTCCTTTAGCTAATTTACGTGAAATATACTTTCAGCAAGATGGGAAACATTCCCCCTCATATCTATGGAAATATTAGAATACTGTTAAATTATTATTTTTCAAATCAATGAATTGGAACCAATGAACGCATATTGATAGCCTCCTCGATTCCCGGATTTCGCCGTTCTCGATTTCTGATTTTGGGGATTTTTGAAATACGAAATATATCGTGGGCACTACAACAATGTCGAACACCTGAAAAATGCTTTAATAATTCAAGATTTAGATATTTGCAAACCCATCCCGTTATAAAAAAAAGAAAAATATATTCAGAGATTCAGTGGTAACAGTTCAAAAGTAAAATATATCAATTCCAAATAAAATTTTAATGTGTATGACTATTTTAGTAAATACCATTTTGATTTTTTGTTATTTATCACGGCCTACTAATAGGAAAATGAGATATTTAAATATTGCAGTAAATAGTGAAAATAAATATAGAGTGATATATATTTTTGAGAAGCTCATAGCAACGCGGATCATATGATTTATAAATATACAGGGTGTTCCGTTTAAACAAAACATAACTTTAGTTCATATTTTCAAAAATATTTTTTCCGTATAAAAACAAACTACGCCACTGTATTCTACGTAAAAAGTTCTACAAGAATCAGCTTTCACCTTCTCGATATCTTTAACAATAACAGAGATACAGGGGGTGTCCCAAATTGTAAAATTTTCTAAAAGACCCTGTAGCTCAGAAATGAAGAGGGCTATGAAAATTTTGTTTACGGCATCTTCCGTTTGACGAAAAAGTGGGACAGGTTTGTGCAAAACACACCCTTCTATCTTCACTAATAACGGAGATACCCTATGATTTCAACTAAAATGGGACACACTGTACAAGATTGCTTAATAGCCGTAAAAAACTCATCGCAACTTTATTAGAATATTTTGAATTGTGCCGATCGAGCTTAATCACGTGAGTAAAAGTTTATTGGGTATGAACTGCAGTTTCATATACAGTACGAGTTACTTTATTTATTGTTAAAAAATATGAATTATTCTACTGAAGCTACCGAAGTTTACAAACTAATTTAAGTTGAGAGCTGTTCGATATTCACTGGGACTAAACAGCAGAACTCATTGTCAGGACTTTTTTAAAAAATTAAAAATATTAACTCTTCCTTATTTATATTTGAGTCTGTTTGCCTAATACGTAAGCATGTATCAGCTTCTCAAGAAAGGCCATCCCACACTTATCCACTCAGGAACGCGGAGCAAGATCTTTAATTACCTACCCCACGCTCAGAGTTATAGTTAAAAGTTCAATATTATACAACTCGAAAAAAATGCACAATCACCTGCCATTTGAAATCAAATCCATAACATCATTCTCTTCATTTCGCAAAGCATTGAACTCTTGTTTACTAGACAAGGCTTTATACGCCGAAAATAAATTATATTTTTATAATCGAATTTGATCTTGTAAGCACTGGTAATGTTTGCTATTGCTATATTTACCAATGACACCGAAATAAATTTGTTTAGAGATCATTGATATTTACTATAAACGAACTAAATATTTTTGAATATTATTTTTATTTTTTTATTCTTTGACATTGGAAACATTTATAAATTTTTATTTTAAACAATAAGATGACAATATATATATATATATATATATATATATATATATATATATATATATATATATATATATATATATATATATATATATATATATATATATATATATATATATATATATATATATATATATATATATATATATATATATATATATATATATATATATATATATATATATATCACAACCATTGACGTCGTAAAAATCCATAAAATTCTTAGGGCTTGTTGTGGACAATTCTCTGAAATGGGACATACATATCGAAGCTTTGTCGAAAAAATTGAGCTCTGCCTGTTTTGCATTAAGGTCTGTTTATAAGGAGCTTAACTTGTCAGTGGCTAGAACTGTTTATTATGCACTTTTTGAGTCGCACCTCAGGTATGCCCTTCCATTCTGGGGTACGTGTTGTGCGGCTCAATTTGACCGCATTTTCAAGCTCCAGAAGAGAGCTGTTCGATATTCACTGGGACTAAACAGCAGAACTCATTACCGGGGCTTTTTTAGAGAATTAAAAATATTGACTCTTCCTTCCTTATTTATATCTGAATCCGTTTGCCTAATACGTAAACATGTATCAGCTTCTCAAGAATGGCCATCTCACACTTATCCACTCAGGAACGCGGAGCAAGATCTTTATCTACCTACCCCACGCTCAGAGTCAGTTAAAAGTTCAATATTATACAACTCGAAAAAAATGCACAATCACCTGCCATTTGAAATCAAATCCATAACTTCATTTTCTTCATTTCGCAAAGCATTGAACTCTTGTTTACTAGACAAGGCTTTATACGCCGAAAATGAATTATATTTTTATAATCGAATTTGATCTTGTAAGCACTGGTCTAATGTTCGCTATTGCTATATTTACCAATGACACCGAAATAAATTTGTTTAGAGATCATTGATATTGACTATAAACGAACTAAATATTTTTGAATATTATTTTTATTTTTTTATTCTTTGACATTGTAAACATTTATAAATGTTTATTTTAAATAATAAGACTGACAACATTATTTGTATAATGTTTTGTATTATCTTTTGTTTGTTTACTTTGTTTGTTTAGTTTACCTTTGTCTACAAAATTAAAATGTTTTGACAATAAAGGCATTTATTCATTTATTCATTTATTCAAGTATTTTTACATTTATTTTTCTTCCTATTTTTATTTTTTCTCAAAACTAACGCCACCACTGGAAAAGACGCTACAATTAACTTTTTAATTTAATTTTTATAATTTTCACGATTATTTGAAGCATATTACGCCGCCACTGTTTGTCTCGTCAACGAAATAATTTAAAAAATCCTCCAATTCCACTTGTATATACATATACGTGAACATAATGTACGAATTCGTCATTTTCAAACAATGCATCATTCAGTACAGCTACTGTAGCACCAGGCAGTACACAACATACACAGCTGATAATAGACAACTTAATTAATCAAGTTTTTTCTTAAATTTTCATTGCAAGATTATTAAGAGTTAGGAATTCAAACTTTGTATACATGTATACATGAGACTGGGACCTGTATATTTATATACACTACACCGTGCTGAGGAGAGCAATAGGATAATAACGTGTACAAAAGGAAACAATCTCTTAATTTAAGCTAAATTGGCTCGGGGATGTGGGCTCACCCATATAAAGCCAATTGACGTTGATTAGTGTGTCTTAGTGTGAGTGTGCGATCGCGACACAAGGCGTAAAGTTCATTTTTATTCGATCCGAAGCCAGAAACGACGCTCCAGAAATCTCAGGTTAAAAAGTCCTCAGGTAAGTGTCTGTTAAAGTTAATTATTATTAATAAATCTTCATTGAGCACCCCAAAATTAGTGGATTCGATAATGCTGTATTCCGTTGCAAAACCATGCGAACCAGACCGATAAACTACGGTAAAGAGCGCAGTGTTGCCACTACCAAAATTTTATTTTCGGTAGATAACTTGGTCAAAATTCGGTAGAAATCGGTAGATGGGATATTTAACACGTATTTCTATTAAGATGTGCTAAAAGTAAGTCATTTTTGGGGTATAAAAAAGATACTTGAAAAATACAAACAACACAATATCGTTTTAGTTCCAAAAAATCAGAATTTTTTCCTATAGTCCGTCTTGCAAAGCCCCTCCAAATATAGGTATATTGCCTAAAATTATTCCAACATATTTTTGGATACTTTTAGGAATTTTAATTTTAACCTAGGTACTTAATAATTCAAAGTTAATAATCGTTTAGCAACAGTGGAATTCACTAGATACATAGATAGTTTACTACTAATACTATTTTTTGGAAATTTGAGACTTTTTCATCCTTTTATCCTTAAAAAAGCACA